TAGTATGTATATGACCTGAATACTGTAGCTTCAGTGAAGGATAAGTTTACTTGTAAAAGTCAGCCAGGACCATTTTAATGGGCTTGTTAGTCATAAGCGTCATTAGAGAGTATAGTCCATCAGGATTCTGGTTATGTTATTTCTGGTTATGCAACCCTTAGAGTAATGAAAAATATTTGGGTTGGTATCAGGAATAATGTGTTAGTGTTACTAGTGCAATGAATTACGTTTTTACTATTAACTTATGTAATACATGTTAGATAGATTTTATGTAATGCCAGGGGTCATCATTAATGTGCACGTTACATGTGTGTACCGATTCCACTCATGTCTGTGTGTAGACGTCATCGTGCATGTGAGTGAGAGGTTTTGATTGGATAAATGTATTGCACGGTTTATTCACTCATCGCTCGGACAGAGCAGTCGTCCACATTCCTGACAGCCCGGGTAAGTATTTGTCTATGCCATTTTTAAACTTATATTAGTATAACACATTGATTGCTGTCCATTTGTCGGTGTAGTCAATACAAATGTCTGCTGTACATTCCGTAAATTCCTGTCAATATTTTTTTAGTGTTTGTTGTAGTTTCCTTTTTCTTGTATACAAGAACTATAGAAATAACAACGAGTCAGTCTCGTCTGTAAATACACGACTTGGTTACTGTATCATACAGTGTAGCATTCCATTGTTCAACATTTCTGTATCAATGATTTAAGCGATCCATGTACGTGATTTCGGTGCCAGTGATCATGGATACTAGGTACGTTTTGCATGTGCAATACATCTTAATAGGTCCATATACACCCAATGAAAACCATGCTAACACAGGTTAAGATGACTTGGCGCAGCTGTGATCAACAGTTGCGTTGTAAAATTTCGAAAGGAGGAGGCTCGGGGCCAAAACTTCGATATTTTGTATTTCAATTCAGTCTGGGAAAATTTTGTTTTCGAGAACGATTTGCGACTGGTCCTGGCCATGTGACTAACAGAATTTAACATTTTTCATTTGGGCTTGTCAGAGGCTCACTAAAATAAACACTTTCAGATTAGTTTCAGAAACATGATGTGAAATTACTTTTCTTATTAAAATGGGAGCAAAGTACTATTAGATGGGAAGTAACTCGTGCAAAGCTAACATCGTCCTACTACTTCCTTGTCCTGTTAGATTAATCTATTTTTATATTTGATTTGTTTTCTGAAAACGCCGTGTCCCTGGCCATAGCACTAAACCGAAAGCGAAAATGCACTGGAAATTCACTGAAAACCACACAGATGGGTTAGGACAAAATGTATACAACCAGTGGTGCTGTTTAACCGAGTCTACTGATTCCATTCGTTCAAATAACTGATATGGACGACCAATATCGAGCATGGGGTGAGTTGATTGTTACACTAAATTAGCAGAAATATGTACAGTTATTAGGGACGACACTTGCTGTTGTTTAAGAAGGGGTCATGAATAATCATGAAAGATGTATAAAAGGGCAAGGTCGGTTTGGAAAAAAAAATCAATCTTCCGCAAATTATTGTATTACTTAGTTTCAATATTGGGAAAGCCATCCATAATATGTACCAGCACATTTTATTATGGCATGTTACTGTATATTTTGGTTTTCCCAATAAACTGTATCACATAAAATGCTCCTGGGTACTTGTGTTTGTGTGGTGGAATCTATTTATATCGTTCGTAGATACCTAACATCAACAAACAGTGGTCAAGAATATCAATTAAATTCGTCGTATTTATTTTCGTGGTTCTATAGCAACCACGAAAACCACGAATGATTAAATACTGCAAACATCTCGTGGTATAGAGTAGATACCTATAGCACTGTAGTAATGTAGTTACTCTAGTAGTGATATACTCATTATTTACTCGATCTTGTAGTAATATTATCCTTAATTACACTATCAATATAGAAATGATAATTAGTCTATTAATATCGTCCTTATTTACTCTAATAGTGATCTATATATAATCGTTAGTTACTCTAGTAGGGATGTAATCCTTAATTACACTAGTGGTATAGTGATGATAGTTACTCTATCAATGAAGTCCTTAGTAAATCTAGTAAAAACAAATTGGCCAAACCTTGAATTATATACTTTTTCCACCTGGAATACCAAAATTCGGTATGCAGGTATATCCGAAGACGGCAAAATCTGTTGTACAAAAAACAAACCACTTTGACCTTTATTTTGACCTCTGACCGCGATTAATGGGAAAATATGCCTAAGTCTAAGTCAAAATAATTGAAACTAAATAATACATCACTACAACACTAGTTGATGTCTCGTCACTATACTATTTAGTACTATAGTGAA